AAAGAAAAGAACAAAAATTTCGAAAGTTAATTATTCATTTATCATTTTCATTAATTACCATTCTCATTCTTATTATTATTATTATCGACATAGTCTTGTTCCACTTATTCTTTACTTTTTTTTTTTTTCTTGAACTATATTTTAAATAATAAAAAGTGACATATATATATAAATCGCATATTCTCGACGATATTTTATATTTATTGAACTTTTTAAGGTACACAATCTAATTTTCTTTTTTCCATTTTTTCCACAAAAGAAGAAAAAAAAAAAACAAAAACAAAAACAAAGTACAAAATGAGTAAATTATTTCTAGGAAAAGTAAATTTCTAAATTTCAAATTATTTCCATACTGTTGGATAATTTTTAAATCATTTTTTTCTTTCTTAGTGTAGATAATGAGAAAAAATTTTTTTTGATATCAGAAAGCTTTTACAGCAATAACAGAGACTAGAAATGGAATATGTTTGTATAATAATGGTTATATCATGGATATCATCAATTCTTCTTTTATTTATCTGTGATATTCTGTAAATTCAAACATATTTGAAAAATGGACTAAACGATAGCATTTAGAATGTTCAACCAATCATTTATTTACTTAAGGAACAAAAGGACCCAATTTAATGCTCAATTTTTTTTTTTCCTTTTTCTCTCCGTTTTCTCTTCTCCCTAAGAGTTTTATGATTCAAACGATTGCTTACGGTATACAAAGCTTTCTCCTGTTGGACCTGTTGAAACATCTGTCTATTGCGGTGAGAGGATATTATTGTTGAACGATGATATATTATTATTATTATTAGTTATGCATTGATAGACGGTTGACATTTACATTCATTATTTTTTCTTCCTGTTTGCTCATTATTTTGCTTGAAATTAAATTTTTGTAATTAGAAAAATTTTCTATTAAAATTGTTTATCAATTAAATATATACCCTTCTTTCTTCCTTCTTTTTTTCTAGATATGATTGAATTGTTAATTACCAGTACTCTCGTAAGACGAAGACATTTCATAGCGCGCTATTTGATAACATCTACTAATTTCAGTCTAGTTTTCTCTTTAATTCTTCTATTTTCAGCCATATTTTGAAAATAGATTATAAAATTTATCAGTGAAATTGTCCACTTTAATTTTAGTATCATCTATTTTTTTCCTTCACTTACAGCATAACTTGTTCATTTCATTTCCCAATCAAAATTTCATTCTATTATTGTTACACAACACAGCATGACTATTTAATCAATATTTCATATCTTAGCAATCTGAAATTATATTTTTCTTTAAAAATAAAAATTTAACTTATTATTTATATATGTAACATGCAATTCATATGTGTATTTATTTATTTATACCTGTTTACAACTCCTCGTCCATAATTGCCCGATTACATTCTTTCGCATACAACATAGTAATCAATACCACACCACAATAAGGTTACTTAATTTCAGATTACGGTAAAACTGGAATAGAATCAAATCAAATAGCTAAAACGAAAGAGACATATAGATATCCTCTTAAGTGGAGGAAAAAAGTTCGGGCAAAAAACGGCAGGAAAAAAAAGCAGTGGTTGATGAATTGTATACACGAAAGAATTCCGGTTTGGGTATATACTTTTTTATTTAAAGATAGTACACTTTTAGCAATAATTATAATATAATAATAACTCAAATATATCAAATAATTCAACCGTTTTTCTGCTCCTTTTTTCTCTTTTTTTTCTTTTTCTTTCTTCCTCTCTTTCAATTTGCTCCTTCTATAATACAAACTGATACGAATTGATATACACTCATTGGCATAAATAAATAAACAAATAAATATTAATATATGTAAACTGGTTCAAGACTAATCTGTAGCTTAATTATGTCATAATATTAGGACTTAATTTTAAAATTAGCATAATGATAGGTGATCTTTCCATTTTTTTATTTAATCCATAATACCAATACATACACACACTACCCACACAGACACAACACAACACAACACACATTTAATACATAAACAGATAAAAGTAAAAAAGGAGCTGCATTATTTTAATAGAAATTTCAAAATTCAGGAAAAAAGTTTAGCACTGCTATGAATCCAATCAAAGTAAATCCAGATTTATCACTTATTTTTGGAAATATTTGAAAGCAATTACAATGAAGTATTGATACCCTTCACCTTTTCATTTTCTCTGAATCATTAATTAATTTTAGAAACTGATGTTTCGGCAATTTAGGTTTTTCAATCGAATCGATGTATTTAATTTAGTTGCTAACTTCGTAAAAATATTTTTTAATTAATAGTTTCAGTTTAAATTATAAAGATGAAAAGGTAAAGAAATTGAACAACGGTTATTCTCTTTTCATATATATCTTAACCGATAGGAAAACTATATGCTTTTATTGCATCCCTTCATAGTAAAATGTTAACACTATTCAAGAGACTCTCAATTTACTAAAAGTTCAAGATGGTTACAGTAATTGAAATTAGGTAGGCTAAAAGTTCAAGAAGGTCAAACTTCAGCCAATACATTATCCTTCCACTTGTTTACACTATGTTTACAGCTGCATTAATTATTTTTTCTTTTTTTTTTGTTCAATCATCTTTTTTCTCTTTTTGGTCTCTGAATTTTTTAAATTGATGAAATTTATCAAAATTCTTTTGCAAATTTAAAATTGGAGCACCGGTCCAAATGTCGGAAGTAGACGTAAATCAACAATGCATTTTTTTCTTTTCTGAAAAAAATGGCAGACATAATAACAATTAATATAATTAGTTTTCTGAATATCACCTATATAAGTTGATTTTATCAATTCTTAAATAAACAGGTAAAAGGACGGAATAAAAAGGACGGAATAACTGTTATTAATTCTGCAATTGCTATTGTCACTATTTTTGTCTTTGTTATTGCTGTTGTTATTTTCATCACTATTATATTAACTTTATTTTATTATGACATATTTATAAAAAATAGGAGGCACAAAATTGCATTATTATTAAAATATCAAATATTAAAAACAAATGAAAATATCAAAAGCATAAAACATGAGAAGGAAAATTAAAATACGATCATGCCAAGTGATAGTAAAGAATTTTTATATGGGTGAATTCTGATAGTAACAATAATAGTAATTAATAATGATAATAATAAATAATAATTAATAATAGTAATAATAACAAATGATGTTGGTAATAACGATAACAATGATAATGGTGATAATAATGAAATATGTAATTTGTGAACAGAAAGAGAAAGTGAAAAAGTGAACCAAGTACGACCTTACTTCCAAATAATAATCTCTAGTAGCAAAGTATTCGAGAATACGGAAACAGAATAAGAGTAATAATTATAGCAATTGTTTCTTATGGCAATGACCAGCAAATTATATGCCACCAAATAATATAATCATCATCATCATTATTGTTATCATTATTGTCATCATTGTTATCACTAGTTCAGTCTTTTATAGGACTAACTTTCAATTCAGTCTCAAATAAGTGATCATAATCTAAATTTCTCTTTTTTTACACTATTTTACACTAATCACTATTTTTCTAAAATTTGAGTAACTTTTAGGGGGCAAAAATATATATATCATGGTAACTTTGCATCATTTTAATTTCTTGAACTACAATTCTATATTATTTTATTCTAATTTCTGAACTATACTTTTTCACTATTTATTCGTGCCAACTTTATATGTTAGAAAAATAATGAGTTTTAATCGGTAAAACTCGTGAAACAGAAATATTTGTATAATGAGATCATTTATCTCATTTCTGGAAAGTTTTTAAAATGTTCCTAAACATTTCTTTTTTTTGTAAGTTAAAAATTGCATAAATCATAAAACATTTAATTATTAATAATTCGAAAAAAGAATTAATGCTAAAAATGCTTTTTCATTAACTTTTTTCTTTCTAGGACTTTGATAGAAAATTTCAAATTTCAATTAATCTTCATTAGCATTAGCGTTACCATTACCATTACCATTATTACTGTTACTTAATTGGTGGTAGTGCGGAAATCCATGAACAACAGCTTCTCTGATGCATTTTGAAGATGACAACAGACCAATATGCAAATTATGAATGGTTGAATGAGTAATTCCTGAAGCCCTTCCTTTTTGCCTTCCAAGCGGACAACTATTTCCTGTTTGAGTTTTCTCACTTTTCTTCCTTCTACTTAACACTTATTTACCGTAGTCACTTGACTTCATCCTGTTTATGTTACTGTAAGCAATCATTAATATTATTAATGATTTGACAAGTTTTAGTAATATTTGTCTTATGAATATCATTAAGTCTAACTACAGTCATTTCCGTCACTTTACTGCATTACTTTCACCATTATGATTAAAAATACATTATACAAGAACTTTTTTAGTTTCAAGATAAGATTTAAAGAGGAAATTTGACTTTGTTTGTCTTTTTTATAAAAACTTACATCTAAGGGATAAATTAAATTTGAATTTTAAGCAGTTTCATTCCATTCCATTTCTTTTTTTTTGCTTTCAATTTCTATGGCAATATTTCAGTATGTTTAAATTTTAAAGGGTAATTTAGCAGAGCTTTTGTTTTCATCTAATAATTTGCATTTTTCAAAAAAGAAAAAATAAAAGAAATCATTGCAATTTGCTCAATATTTAAGAAAAATTTCAATTCATACCACTGTATCAAAATTAATATTTTTATATAAACTAAGAAATAGATGACAATTAAGAAAAGATAAAAAAACAAATTAAATTATGATTTCATGCAAATTTATTTATGTATGAAATTCAATTCAGAATAAAAGATCATGAAGAAAAAGTTAGGAGAGAGAGAGAGAGAGAGAAAGGGAAAAGAGAAAGAGAAAAGGGAGACCAATAATAAATGGAAGAAAGAAAGAAAATAGATGGGGTATATATGTTCTCGAATAGTGGCGGTATGTTGCGTAATTGAGGGGTTCATATGTCGTATATCTGTGTTCGATGATTGTTTGCATAATAAAATTCATTGTGCTTCATTGAAATCTCTATTGTAATTTTACGAAGCGATCCGTATCTTTGGCCTCTTGGGACATCGGATATTTGTGAGGGATGCCGACGACGATATCTACTTCCTGTAATTCGTCGTCGTCGTCGTCGTCGTCCTTTTCAAAGCAATTGTTGGCATCTTTTAATTCACTTCACTATTATAACATATATATTACATTACCTTTTTAAAATGAGGATATGATTGAAAATAGGATCCGTAATCTTTCATCATTTCCTTGCTTTTTCCTTCATCGCTTCTGACTTCCCTCACTTTTTCATCATCTGAATTTTAAGGCATGCACAAAAATTATCTTAAAATTTAGACATATTTATATTAGATAATTATACTACATAGATGGTGATAAATAAAAGTGATTATCATTTGGTTCTTTTATGTTAAATGAAAATTAAAATAGTAAACTTTGGTCATTCCTTTTTAATTTTAAATGAAATAAAATGTGGGAATGTTAAAGAGAAAATATCATTTTGATGATTAAATCTAATCAAATTTTGGTGTGAAATTTCACGAATTTTGATTTTGTTATTACTTTATATTGTCAAAATGCAAACAAATTTAGATGAAATATTTTTAGGTTTTGTTAAAAATTTCAAAGATTAATAATCCTTCGAAAATAAAAAACAAAAAACTGCGTAATAATATTTGTGTACATATAGTTACTATTTTAAAAAATTAAACAAGCAAATGTATTTTGAAATGTACTCATCAATTTCTTTCTTTTTCAATTTTAAAAGATTGTTCAGTATGGTTCTTCATCGTCGATTAGTGCTAAATAATTTTCATTAGCCATGAAATCATCATCTAAAACTGCTCGATTAAAATTTTCAACCATCTCATCTATTTTCCATTCTCTTTTTAGCTAATCAAGTTTTATCGTGTATTTATGGGTAACTAAAGAAATTGGAAAAGATGATGAGAGGAGGAGAATGACAATAGGAAAAGGGTTGTGGTTGTTTAGTTCTGATAAAGCGAAAGATATAATTGAAGAGAAGAAATTATTTCACACTTTCATAGATTTTGATAGCCTCATTTGTGTTTAGTAGTAATGGTATGTATTGCTTAAATTAAAGTGCCTAAATTCTTTTTATTTGTCACTAAAATGTATTACATAACTATTCCATGATGATAGCATAGTTCTTCACTATTATTATTATTATTAATTTATAGCTAAATCATGCTTACCATTATTTATTATCATATCATGCTTATTATTATTATCATTGTTGTTATTTAATACTATTTACTATATATGTATCGTTATTTCTTCTCTTCCAACTATTATTATCATTATTGTTACTATCATTCAATTAATACCGTTATTTACATGACAATACTATTATCATTATTTCCATCTTATTCATATCACTGTCGTAGTTATAATTATCAGCATTATCGGCTGTTGTAATCCTAATGTCTTAACCATGCGATTGTCATATTCATTACTTCCAACAATACACCACCTGACTACGCCATTCTTTTCTCCATGTTGTGTTGTTTGTTTACCACCATGAATACCTTTCCTTTCTCTTTCCTTCTCTCTTTTTTATACCATCAGTAGTTTTGCAATTGAACTATCTCTTTTTCTTTTCTCCCTTTTCTATTTTAATCATCTTAGCTATTCGAAATAAAATAAATGAATAAACTGCTTTACATTACATTTAGTCCAATTGACTTACATTAAAATTTGGCATTCTCTCATTGTTTCTTTTTATGAAAAAGAATTATTTCCTTTAAAACTTTTGAAAACTATCGTATGCCAGCAAAATTCTTTCTAATTAAACGTTTCATTTTATTGAAAATTTAAAAAAAAAAGTAAATAAAGAAAGAAAAAGAAAAAATATTTCATTTTAAGATTATTTGATTTAATTGAATATTTCTTTTTCGTTCTTCTTTTCAAATTATAACGACGAATATGGTAGCAATAAAATAATATAACCTTATGGTAACTGCGATCATAGAAATATAATCAAAGAAAAAATGCATAATTGCAGTGGCAATAAACTAACTAATCGAGTAACTATGCAGATGTGTTGGATGAATTAAGAAAATGTTATGAAGATTTAGCATATCAGATGGCTTTACTATCCGTCATCTATGTAGTGTCAGTGTGTGTGTGTGTGTGAGGTGTGTAAAGGTGCATCTACCTCTACCACCTGGTTATTGGGTACATGGATAAATATGAATATGCCACAAAATGTGCGGAATAGCTTATCTGCTAATGAGAGATGATTTGAAGGTAATTAATTGTTCGAATTAAAAGCTATTTTTATGAACAGCCCACAGTAAAAGCGGCATGAAGAAGCAGGATGACACGAGACTGTACCTCCACCACCTGCCCTTATATGACCTAGACATGTATGTAAGGAGAATAAAAGGAGAGAGAGGAAGGGAGTTGAGAAGAAGGAATGATGCGAAGGATGATGTTGTAAGATTGATAAAACCGTTATTATTGCTAATTGTAAGGTAAATTAAAAAAATTTCACAAAGTGAAAAGTTTGAAAAGTATGACACATTGCAAGAAAAGAATAATAGAATACGGGGAAAACAGAAAAGAAAGAAAAAGGTTAAATTGGAGGTGAAAAAAATCAAGGAGAGCAATTAACCGATTCTGGATTATCTGTTTTGGGGTGATGATTTTTTATGAAAAGGTCAAAAAGGTTACCGCCAATCATATAACTTGAAATTAGGTGCATTGCTTCTTCTTAGTAGTCTTATTCCTTCGCTTCATTACCGCATATGATATCACTGATTCAATTCCTTCGATTCGCCAAATCTTTATTTTATTCTTTTCATAGTACATATTCATCATTTCATTCCATTTGCATAAATATATCATTTACTCATTATTTAATCTTTAAGAATCATTGCAGTTAAAATTTTGACACTTTCTTCAAATGAAAGAAACTTCAGCCAGGAAGGAAAATTTTTTTTTCAGCCAAATACAATGGTTAATTAATCCTTGAATACTTTACTACAATATTACTTTAAATTCAAAATTTATCTGATAGAAATTAAATTGAAACAGCATAGTAAGATGGAAAATTTTGTATCAAAAAATTTCGAAGATTACAGCATAGTACCATTTGCTGTTATTTTATTACTATTACTCTTATTATTATTATTGTTAGTAGTAGTAATAATAGTGGATTTTCTTTCTCAAATTATTTTTTTAATTTTTTTTCCTCAAATTATTTTTTTAAATTTTCGAATTTTATCCTTCAAATTTTTTCTAAGAAATTTCAAAAAATTTTCATTATATATATATAATTTTTCTGAAAATTTTCACCCAGACGTTTTTATCTTGTAATATCTCTTGATGAATTCATTTTAAATCCATTTTTATCAATATTTAATCATTGTTTTCAATTTTGCTTACATCTTTTTTGTCATTGTTTACTTTTTTTAAAAAAAGGATAGCATATTAATGACTGAAATTTTATGCAGGAAAACAAAAAAAGAGAAAAAAAATTAGAATTAAATATATTTCATAGAAATTCTGGAAAAATTATGCATTTTTCTTTCTCTTTTTTGAATATATTTTCAAAATTACAATAGTAATTGACAACTGAACAATGTAAATTATAATTGTAGTCAATGATAAATATAATATGGGACAAAAAGAGACGGAATGAGAGGTGGAAGTGAATATATCATGAAATTTTGGAGACGAGACGGATTAGCGGTACTCTCTTCATGCGACCCCCTTTTTGAGTTAGTCTATTTTCCGATCCAATCTCTTCAAATCATAATTGATGATAGGAGAAGAATAGAGCCGGAGAGGTTATTGCTTCAGTACTGGTACTTATTACCATTTTTCATGCTACCACTACTACTACTACTACTACTGTTACTACTACACCCATAACCAATCAACCGGTAGTTGCAATTAACGGTATGCATTATTCGTGGATTACACTATTATTACCACTACGAATAACGATGGTGATGATGATGATGATGATGATAATGATGATGATGATAATCGTAGTGGTGATGACAATTACTATCTTAACTGAGAGAACATTAAACGCGGGAATTTGAAATGTTATTTGTTTTATTAATCAAACTGATGATAGCTAGTATAAGTTTTGTATATACAAAAACTTAACGACAGAACATTTAAGTACTGAACGTCAGATTTGGTTTATTATGAAATTATAAATGTATTACTACTGCTATTATACTTGTCATACTATCCTTACAGCTACCACATATCTATCTTCTTTAATTCAACTATAAAATTGACGGCGTAAACTATATTTTTAAAAAAGTGAAAGAGGGGTTTGCTAAAATAAAGAATAAAAATTAGAAATTATTAAAGTGATTTGCAAGAAGCAGTATTGGAGGGATTTGTTCTAAAATGAAGTCTTGCCCTATTTTATTTCCTTTTACGTCTTCTCCTTGCCCTTATTGTTGCCTTATATTAATAAATATTTAAAAAAAGATTTAATCAAATATACTACTAATAATGACAATTAAATAAGTTGAACAAAATATTAGCTGTTAGTTGTGACAAAATTGGATGGGAAAAAAAAGTGTTCGAAGCCTTCTTTATAGTAGTGCTTTTTAAAAATTTTAACTAATTTATTAATGGCTAAGAGAATTATTGGCTAAATTGGCAATTGGCACATTTATTGCATTCTAAAATTATTTATGTCACAATATTAATTATAAAGAAAAGCAAAAAAAAAAAAACAGTAACAATTGCTGGAAGAAACCTTGCAATGGTTATTAAAATACAATACTTGATTAAGATTTGGATAAAAAAATTATTGCATGCAATTAAATAATCGATCACTTAAAAATTTGTTACAGTTCAATTTATCTTGTCATGATACTTGTTATTTATATTCTGTATTATGTTTGATATCGATAACTCAAACACTTTCTTATTCTATAGGTAATTTTCATAGAAAATCGAAATAAAAAGCTTTTGTTCCTTGTAAAATAATGTTAAAGATTTTAGTATTTTTAAAAAAAGGAGGATAGATATTGAAAATAGATTCAGTAAGAACTATGAATACGTATTATTGAAGCTCGAGAAGTACAATAATGTTTTAGCTGATCGCTAAATGTGTGTATATTGTTTGTGTATGATATGAATTGAGTGTATATTGTTCGTATATGATATGGGCGGAGAAAGTTTCATCAGAGGACGAAGAGGCGGGGAGCGAGGCAGGGGAAGAAAAAAGAGAAGTGGAGAAAAAACCGAGACTAATCTCGAGTTTCGTCCAGGTTACACATAGTCCTTTCTTCCATTAATGATTAATGTAAACACTGGTTAGTTTGTGCTGTAGTTTAAGAATTTTGGTTGGAAATTAACGATTAGTAAATAAGTGATTTGTAAGTGAGTGATTAAGCTGATTCATTATTCTTATTGATAATAAAAGTAATAGGTTAGTGCTTCATAGACTTGAGTCTTGGTTGTTAAAATTTCATATTTGCAAATGATATCTAAATGTATCAAGACGAGATATGATTTATTAAATTTTCGAAATCAATAGCATGATCATAAGAAAAAATATAGAATCTGAAAATTTATTTGTTTTAAAGTACCATAAATAAGCCAATTATGATTGAAATTTTTTTTTAAATTGCAAAAGGAAAAACTGCATATCCAAGATGCTTGTGAATCAATCTTCCTGTTAAATTAATTGTCAATGACTGATTGAGGACAAATACTGACATAACTCATAAAAAAACCACTCATACTCATTAACAAAACTTTAATTATAATTTACTCATAAGTCAATTTATTTTTTGCTTTTTTTTTTTGTTTACGCCAATTCAAACCATTCATAATAATTTTTAATGTCTTTCTTCCTTTTTACCTTGCACTTTATGAATGAATTAAATTAAATAAATAATAAATATATGAGATAAGGGCAGGGACGGAGGAGTAGTAGCGAAAAGAGTGAGAAGAAAGAGAATGGAAATGAAGAAAAGAGAAAAGAAATGAAATATTATTCAGCTTATAAAATACTATATCGTTTTCTTTTTAAAACAATTTAATGCGCAGAGAAAAAAATATGAGTAAGAGAAAATATGCATGATCAATAATGAAACAATTTGTTTTAATGTTTATTTTTTTGTTTTTTATTGTTGGGAAAAATAAATTTCATATCGAGATTGCTTGTCAAATCGATAAAAGGTCTTTTTTTGTATATATGAATGCTTCTGTGTTAAATTTCAATTTCCCTTCCTCATATTTTCCCGAGCTGTATCAATCAAAATTTTGGCTTCTCTCTTATCTCAAACAAAAAATATGGAATAAATTAACGATGCTTCGAAAGAAAAAAAAAAAAAATAAATTGTAGCCTTTTGCTTTGAAAGCACTCATACTTCTCTTTCCTGCACTCCACAAAACAATTTGAAAAAAAAGGAAAAAAAAAGTTTATTCTAAAAAGTGCTATTCACTGTTTAAACTTCTCTCATAATAATAATCACTTTCTCACTTCTTTCCCGTAATTCGTCATTCTGAGAATAATCCAAAAAATTGTTTTTTTTTTCTTTTTCATTTGCTTATTCGAAAATAAATGGTTTATTTACTCATCGTGGCATTTAACTAATAAATAAATCGCATAAAACAGTAGATAAAATCACTTTTGAATTGCTTAAGTAATTTTTTTTACAAGTTTTCGATTCAATATTAATTTTCCATAAATTTGGTTGACAATTAAATTTAAATTTAGTTTAGTAACAAGAATATGCTCGGTATCAAATATGCATTATATTGAATCGCTTCAAATTTTTTTCCTGTACACAAATTTTCAAATCACCTCGCTATATATAATATCCATTACTCATAATACCAATTAACTATTAATTTCGCTCTGCGGATACTATATATTATGCAATGACTAACGATACTATGGAAGCAGAATGAAGCTTCGCTATTTGAGGTTACATGAAGACCAAGACGAGCGCATCATGTGTTACCCAAATAATACCAGGTGAACAAACCAATTACAGTTTCATCATCCGACAGAATTACTGAACTGGAGAAATGCTTGTAAATCAATAATTGAAATTTAGAAAATGAGTGCTTATGATAGAGCTATATCTCAGTAAATTATTTTATGAAATTCAAGACCAAAAATGCACCATTTGAATCACAGATAATTTGTAATTACAGAATTAGCTGGGTTAGAAATAATACAAGGATTCCCTTTAATTTTTTTTAGTTTCTATCGTATATTTTGCAAATTTTAAAGCTATTTTAATTTTTGATTTCTTGCAGTAATAAAAACATGCAAAACTGCTGGTATTTTAGTTTTACTTTGAATTTAATCATTATTTTTAAAAGGGCAGAATTCATATTGAAATGATAACGGTGATATTGCTTATTACCATATGAAAAAACGAAATAAGAGAGTGGGATGAATTCATTCTTAAGACGAGTGGTTGGGAATAAGGTGAAGGAGTTAATATTGGATGCCTATTGGATGAAATAGACTCCTCGCTCCACCTACTTTCTTCATTCAAAATTTCCCTCTTCAGTTACATTTTCACAATTGTTCTAATTCATATTTTTTTAGTTTATTTCAATTCATTTTTTTTTTTGAGTTATAGCATTATTCTATCTTTAAATATTCAAATTTAGTTTTCATATGATTTATTGTTTTTGCTTTTTTTTTTTTGGCTACAATACGTCGTTATATTATGATGGAGATTCGGGATTTTAATTTATGCC